AATTTAAGATATAGTTTCTTTAGGTGTTTTATTTACTGATAGTATTAATGAGCTGGTTTGATTAAAGTAGATATTAGCGCAGAGAAGTATATGAGATGTAGAATACGTGTAATTTATGGTGTTTTTAGGACACACAAAGAGTAGTTATATATTGGGTTTGTTTGTCTCTCTTTTTTGGGAAAATAGATTTTGCATTAGTAATTTTTTAAAGAATGTGTGATTAGAAAGGAAAAATTTTGTGTTTACATGTAAAATTATTCTAATGGGAGAATGTGTCACTGAAAATGAGTTTAGTGAAAAATAAATTTTTAAGGAATAGGGCACTAACGGGGGCAGTGTGGCATGCAACGCCGAAAACTGGAAAAACATATTTGACAAAATAAGCTGGCATAAATCGAAAAATAATTTGAATGGTGGAAGGAGGAATAATTATTTATCAATGTAAAATACTAAAACTAATATCTTTGATATGTTTGAAAAAAATTGGTATCTATTAAGTACTGGACTTGCCGACTCGTAATTTTTTTATAAAAGTAGCGACACGACACATCAGCAACGTCATTATAAGAATATTTTGAAACATCGTTTTTGGAATACTAAAACTGGAGGGTTTATTGGAAGGACTTGTGAATGCATATAGTTTGTATAGCTTTTTGTGAAAGCTTTTCCATTTTAAAGGGACGATCCTTTTTAGGACATAAAGGTAATTTTTTTAATTGGTTAAAAAGGAACTTTTGAAGTAAAATACTTTTTTTCAGCCGATTGACCAAAACATTGGAAGGTGTTGGAAAATTGTGCAACTCAAATAATAAAAGGCGGATTTCTCTAACTAGGTTTCACAAAAATATAAAAATAAAAAAAGAAGAAATACAAAAGTCTATGACTTAGGTTTACCTTTGAGGGCCTACTCTTTGAGGAGAGAGAAGCCCATCACAAGCCAAAATGAAAACATGGTGCCTTTGAAGAAAAATTGTGGGAAGGGAGTGGACAAAGAAGTACGCCATTATTGTGCTTCTTAGTTCACTATTTTCATTCATATATTGAGAAGTCAATATTTTCTGTAATTTTTGTGGTTATTTCTCTTCACCGCGGCATGTCAACAACATGTCCTGCGGTAGATAATTAAAAAGAAAGGGGCATGTCACCCGGCATTCCCGACACTTGTTGGCAGCGTGTCAGAGTCCTGTTAGTGTCCTAAATGCGTCGGAGACTGACTCGCTGCTCCGTGCGCTTGTCGATGTTTCGTAGGTAGGATATTGACTAGAAAAGGAAGGTGGCAAGGTCCTTGGGATGAAGAAGTTGTTATTTCTGGAGAAATAAAGAATATCACCTCGATCTAGTTGTGCTGTTACAATCAAACAGTTGCGGACATAGGGTAGTGATAGCACAAATGGTTGTCAAACTTCTCTTTTATCTCACTATTTAATTTACCAGTTATTCCAGTAATTTCTTTACTATGCAACAACTCTGGCTAATTATTTTGAGGATGCTGATTTTTGCCTTTTATGTTAGTTTGCTGGCAGGATGTTGATGGATGATATGTGAACATATGTTGTTACCTTGAGTGACCTTGTTTATCAATCTTTGATTATTTGGTGGAC